GAGAAATTTTCATTGAGAAAAAAATTTAAATGGGAGGGGAAAGGGGAGGTAGGGGTTGGAGGGAAGGTGAGATGATTAGTGGGGAAATCATACTGATTGACTCGTTGTAGGGTCAATTCAATGGTATTCACCATTGCGAGTACTGTTGATATACGCAAAAATGATGTCTATTCAAGAATGATACGGTGGGCGAGTGGATAAGGTACAGAACTGCGGATCAAGAGGTTCCAGGTTCAAGTACTGGTCGGGTAATATTTTTTTTTGTATTCTTGACCTTGCCGTCCCGGAACCACCATTTATTTATTTATTATTTATTTTCGCAGAGTGAATCAAGTTATGATTAATAATTAATTAATCAATAGAATATCATCCGGCAAACTTCCGGTCAACATCATTCGGCCCGAACCTGAAAAACGCGTAACGCTTTTGGTCCGGGCCGAATCCGGCTGACCGAGCTAGCACCGAACATTACGCTTGGCATGCCTCATCAGGACCGGAAGGTTTGCCGAATAAAATTTCTAGTAGGGTTGTGACGTCCGACGAAAAATAAGAACAATTAGTTATTCTCTTTTGTTTAAGTAAATTAAATATCATCTGGAGAGCACCAGATGTTTCTCCTATCTTCAACAAATAATTTTTCTCTCGGACTTGTGTATTTTTCCCATAGTTTCAAAAGTGCAGCTGCACAAAATAAATTATCTCCAGTACACAGTTTTCAGTCCACACCCTGGGAAAAATAAATAGAACAATTTTGATTTAAAAAATTTACGCCGACAAATTCTTTTCGACTGTTTGTCTCTGGCGACATTTTCTCATAGTTTTACGACATGCAGCCGTCTGCATGTCGCCGGTTAGATTAGAGGGTCTGAACCCCCAATTCCTTAGATATTTTCTTTTTACCGACATGAGGTTTTTCTAATGATAACGGGTGTAAACAGGAAGTTCCAACGGCCAAAAAACAAAAGAAAACACGTGTTCGTTCGGTCGTTTGGAAAATATCCTGATAAATATTTTCTTAGTTTTTTTTTTTTATTATTTCAAATAAATTCTTCTCGTAAGCTTAAATAATTGTAGCGAGACATAGCAATTTAAAATTCCTATTTATATTCGATTGAATTGAGAATGATTGTTTTTGGGAGATTTTTTTTTTTGAATGAAGTTTTTCTCATTAGAAAGAGAATTATTTAATTGTTAAAATCAAATGTTTTATCTTCTCAATTCTCCAATATCTTTCGTTTAGATTATGTTAGAAATTTAAATTAGAATAATTTTAATTAAGAATTAATTTAATTAAATAATATGGGACTTGAAAATATGGGACTCCTGAAACGAATCTCATTGGTTAGTTGGGGTTGGGATAGTCCGCCCACACCCCAACGAAATTTTCCAGTGCTAATGTGGAAGAGGGTGGAGTACCTCTGAAACATTGGGACTCATGTGTGTGGAGAGGGAAAACTCCGGGCTAAGGCCAAATGTAATTGGTCCCCCGAGTCTTCCCTCCAGATGAGTGCAAGGGCACACCCTTAGTGTAGTTGATAAAACTATCTACACTTCGGGTTGCTTAGTTAGTTCCCTCTCAATTCCCAAAGTGGAATTTTTAACATCGACCCATTGGGCGATTTTCTCGAGAATCTTTGATTCTTTTTATTCAGAATCTTATCCGATTCTTTAATAAATCCTTTGGATTTTTTTTGTCCTTTTTAATTGGAAGTTTTTCAAATCTTTTAATTAAGAGTATTTTCTTTTATAGTGAATTATTCAAATTTATTTAAATTAAACTCAGTTTGAGTGGAAATTACTTTTAAGGAGTGAATTTATAGTGTGTTGCGGCATTTTAACCAATTTGGATTATCAGATTTTGCAGTTACTGTAAGTCATATGTGATTATTATTCTTTCTATATTTTGAGATTTGTTTTAAAATACAGATTCGTAAGGATCATTTTAACGAAATTCTAATTTTTTTAATTTTTGAAAACCTTTTCTCTTCCCATGAATATTCCTTGGTTTACTCTTTAAAAAAAAAAGGTGAGTGAACAATTTAATTTCAATTTCGCAAATCAACCGGAATTTTTTAAAATAATTGATAGTTTATTTTTCTCGATTCCGTTAATTATCGTTAAACGATACAGAGAAATCCAGTTACGTTAAAGTTGAATTCCATTTTTATAAAATTTTTTTTTGTCCAACTCTAACGTGACAGGGTTATTAGAAAAAATAGTAAATCAGTATAATTCAATTTATCACTAAAAAAGATGATTAAATTTATGATTTAATACTTGAGATAGATGCACTGTGATGAGTTATATTAGCGGACAAATTATATACAAGGTTGCTCATAAAAACACAAATTAATATGATTTTCTGGGAGGAAGGGAGCATTTCGTCGCTGTCTGTGAGCTAGGTTACACAATAAAATTCCAGCCTATCTTGAGCCATCTACGTTTTTCCATAAGTGCTCATATAAATGTACTGCAGGGTTCCTAATAATCCGTCTTACCTGTTAATTAAACGCATAAATTGAATTAGAATCCTGAAAAAAGGCATATCTTTGAAATATATTGTTTACTAAGTGGTGATCCGACGTATTAATCGAACCTCACCAGCTGTTAGCGAAATCCAGGATTCACGATGTGGACGTTGTTGGTCTAGAATTTTATGATTCTACATAATAATTTTACATTGAATTGTGAGAAATTATGGAAAGTAAAAAACTATAGTGTGATAACAGGAAAATTTGAAATAACAAGATCAATAATATTGAAACAAGTTCAAATCAATTCTCTTGTTTGCAAGATAACATTTATTTTCGTTGTCCTTACCTTTCAAAGCACTAAGCTGCATCTGCATCTATCGTTATGCTTCCAATATTTGATACATTTCTGATATTTACTAATGAATGAGAGTCAAGAATTGAAAATGATCATATAAAAAATTAAAAAATACCACTCACCACATTCATTGCATTCAATGAGTTTTAATAATGCAAGAAAAGAAACCGAAGAAGAGAGACAACTGTATTGTATTGTATTCTCAATTAACAACTTTGATAAAATAAAAAAAGGGGAAAGACTAAAATCAATAGATTGTTTTTATAAATACTGTACAAATCAAATTTAAATTCATCCAAAGTAGTTTTCAAAATGATTTTCAAGGTTGATAAGAATACGTTAATTTTCACATAAGTTTCACTTAAATCGATATATGGATTTCTACTAAAATTTGTTTCACTTATTGTAGTAAGGGGTAGTAACTTATTGCGAAGTTACGATCGTGAGGGTAGAGCCCGAGAAGTTTGCGCTACTGTCGCAAAGGTGAAAGCGAATATTCTTTCAAAGGGAATCAATTTTGCAATTTCGATTATTGAAGGCCACACACGACTTGCTATTGATCGGTAATTTGAGCTGCATCAACACCAATTTAATGTCTGGTGGGCAACGAAGATGTTAGATTTATTGAGAAAATGAAATTTCTAATGAAATTTTTTTTTTTTTAATAATCCCAAATATGACAAAAGAACTTATCAGAGTGAAAATTTTTAGAAAGTTTGAAAAAAATATGTGTAAATCCAAGATCAAATACCAAATTCAACTCAATTACTAGATGCCTTGCGTTGGGTTGATGGGTTACAACTAGTTGAAATCGAATTTGATCAATTTTTTTTTGGTTGGATGGGAGATAGACAAAACAGTCGGAAGGGTGTTATCCGTGTGTTTGACCCTCATCATTCGTTCTGTAGCGCTCTCCTGTTCATCGCTTATGATCACTTCGCTCTTTTTTTGCATTAGGCTCTTAACATTTTGTTCCCCTTTCGTTTCTCTTACGAGACCGAGCGCGCACTACCATTATTTTCATGGCTTGTTCTTTACGAAAGACACCTATCGAAAGATCTTATATCCATATAAAAATGAATCGTAAAGGCTCGCATTTTTTCACAAGTGTGTAATATTTTCATTTAAAACCTTAGAACAATTGACATTGTATGTGATTATTATTTAGTCAATGATTTTTATACTGAAGGATTCCAAATCAATGTTCATCTCTTCCTTTTCTTTTAACTTTCAAATGGGCGACATCGATTTTAAAAACTCAACTAATCAACTTGATATTTTTGTTGTTATACATAAATGTAAAAATAATATATTGCCAACAAAGACAATATATTATTATTATTATGCGAATATACACATTCGATCTATGTACGTATAACCCTATGTATATAACTCTTCATATAGGTACATAATTTTCAACATTTAACGTCCAAGAAAATTTTCAATGATTCCCATGATCTGACTCGTGAGAAGGGAAGGAAATTTCAAATAAGTCAATTGTTAATATTACTCACCAATTTTCAAGTTATTTAATTATTCATCGATTAAATATTCAAGTTCAGAATTATTTTATCAATCAATAATTGAGTTTGGAAGATTGACAATTATTTGGCTAATTGAAAAATCAATCTGTTATGAAATTTAAAAATATTTGCTCAGTTGTCAATTGACAATTCTATATTGTCAATTATTTAGTTCATAGACCTTTGAAAATTTGAATTATCAATCATTATATTATTTGTCAAATTTCAATGAAGATAAGTAAACCTGAATTATTGTAAGATGCAACTTCTTATACTATTACTAAATTAATGATTGATGCCGATCCATGATGGAGGACAGTTTTCGCAATTAAATTTATTTTCTCTGTGTACAACTAAACAACGAGCTAAGAAAAATCGGAATAAAAAACGATTTTTTCACATGATTAGTTCACGCCCGCTATTATAGTTCTACCCACCGTCACAATCTCCGGGAATTGCCTTGGCCAAGGTCAATTGAAACGCATATTCCGGCATGACCCCCTTATCTAATCATTGCAACATATGAAAAATGAGACACAATTTTAACATTATCTAATGAATAGAGGAGAGAAACATGCCGCATTCAACTTGATAAACATCAAATTGATTTGAAATTGACTCCGTGATTTCCCAGTTGTTCTGCAAACAATGGCATGGTTTATCTGGTTTTGTGCAAGTTTATTCCTGTGTTTATTGAAACCAAAGCGTTCCAACGGAATTCCAAGTGAGTTGCTATCAGTCAAAGATTAATTCCATTTACAATAATTTATTAATGATTCTATTAGGGTCAGCATATGCTGCAAATCAATTTCAATTGAATTCCAAACTTCTTCAACTCCCGATCAACCAAATATGCCAAGAGGTGAACGAACTTTCAGATGAACTTGACATCGAGCATGACTTCCTGATTTACTCCTCGAGGACAGAAATAGGAATCTTCGACTTGACCTCCAATGCATCTGCTCTTCCAATTGCTACTAGCCTCCGAAACGTGGTAGGGGTGTTCCTAGACGAAAAATATGTCTACTGGACTGTTAATGATCCGCAAAATGAAGCGATCCATCGAGCTTTCAGGAATGGTTCAGGAGCCGAAGTTATTGCAATCGAAGGGATAGGAAACCCGGAAGGAATAGCAGTTGACTGGATAACTGGAAACATTTACTTCACAGACGAACTTCAGAAGCGGATAGGAGTTTGTACAAACTCCGGTTCCCACTGCACATCAATCATAACTGAAGATACAAAGAAACCTCGAGGGCTCGTCTTGCATCCATCGACTGGACACATGTACTGGAGCGATTGGGGAGACCATCCGCACATTTCCAGAGCTGAAATGAACGGAAAATCCCGGGTTCCAATAGTTACGGAAAGTCTCACCTGGTCAAATGGCCTCACAATTGACTACATTTACTCGAGACTCTACTGGACTGATGCCAAATCGAAGACAATCGAATCCATTAGCTTTGTTGGAACCGATCGAAGAACTGTGCTTCGTGCCATCGATATTCACCCGTACTCCCTAGCAGTTTTCGAGGACAGATTGTTCTGGAGTGACTGGAAGACAAAGAGCATCCAAATTTGCAACAAGACCAACGGCGAGGGGAAGGCGACTCTTCTCCAAGAAGATCGTACGATCGTTGGAATTCATGTTTACCAGCCTCTCGCCAGAGCCAATTTTGATAATCCTTGTAAGGGTAATCCTTGTGGAGAAGTCTGCTTGTTGGGAGCTGATCTCAGCTACACATGTGTCTACAGTCTAAATAAGATTCTTGGGAATGATGAAAAGACTTGTGAACCGATCAAGGATGAAGACGGCTTGATCCTTGCTATTGGAGGGGTTCTTCTTGATTACCATCATGAAATCCTAGGAAAACCGCGATGGAATACCATTGATAACCCTCAACAATTCGCTGAAATCTTCCATCCGAACAGTCGAAGCTTGACAAGCGATTGTAGGCAAATGATATTCAATGAAATTTCTCGTATCTCCGGACACAATGAGACATTCGCCGCAATAGCGTATGACCACATCGGGAACAACTTATATTCAGCAGACGTTCGGTATAAGCGCATCAAAGTGATGAGCTTGTCGACTATGAAGACCATTTTTTTAAGCTTTTCCGAGGAGCCTAGGTCGATTCTATTGGTCCCAGAGAAATCGACCATGTTCGTGACTTTCTGTGTAGTCTCTAGTTGTCACATTGACAAAATGTCGATGGCAGGAAGTGGGAGAAAACGATTCTTAGGGGACGTCTTCAATGGTCCGCGGGTTCCTTTAGCTTTCGACGCCGAGACAAGTAGAGTCTTCTGGGCAGATCAAGGGACAGGAAAACTTGAGAGCGTTTTATTCGATGGACACAATAGGAAAGAAATGGAATTAGTGTTGAAAGAGCCGGTGACTTTAGCAATTGTTGAAGACCGGGTTCTTGGGGTTAGGAATAATTCGAGAGAGATTTTTTGCGTGAGCAAGAATGATTTCTCAGGAAAGAAGGAATACAATTTGACGGTCCCAATGGAAGGGAACGTTGTAGCAGTGAATATGAATAATCCCGAAGAGAAATCAACGAAGGAGCTTCATGAATGTCAGGTTGATAATGGAGGATGCTCATACGTATGTCTATTAAAGTTATCGCAATCGCACGTGTGCGGATGCCCCGCAGAAATGATTTTGGATGTGGATCAGAAAACTTGTAAGTTTATATAGAACTTTTGAAATCATCCAGATGTTTCTGCAACTATATTTTTTAAGTGATGAAGGGTGGTAGGTCAGCTTATCTGTTGATTGAATTAATGTTCGAACTTTGCACGGGGATAATTATTTGGTGAATTTCATCAACTAGTTGTTGAAATTTACCAACTAGTTGTTGAAATTCACCAACTAGTTGTTACAAAAATGAATTCCCAACTAGTTGGTGAAATTCATCAAATAATTTTCTCCGCGTAGAAACTATGAGTACAAAATTTTTCAAAAAAATCACCGTATTCGGAATTTATCAATCTATCACGGATTAGTTTTTTAAGAGCATCGTAAGAACCGTTTTTTCATAAGATGGAAAAATTGAGTTCGGCGAGACCCATAACCTCTGTTAGTCCGTACGCTGAAGCTGGTTCTGTATCAATTTCAGTGTCCGTGAGTTTTGATGTTTGAAATTCATATTTTTTGGGTCGCTGATTCCGAATTTGACAGTCTTTTTTCAACAAAATCCGGCGTTCTATTTGTTATTAAGAATTTAATTGTTTAACCCATCATATCACAAAAATGGTGAGAGATAGAGAAAAAAGTTTCGAACAAAAGATGTTTGACGTGTAATAATACAGATTTCTTATTTTATAACTTTTTCCCATAACTATGATAGACAAGGAGTTATCAGGGGTGGAGCCGAGCGGGCGACCAGTTAGCACTTGCGCGAGGTTTCGACGCGCTCCAATGCGCTTAACGGCAAACTCGATGAAGATAACGTAAAATGGTTTAAATAAAAGATGTTTGTTATTAAGTTTTACACATAATTTGTATTTTAAATTTTTTCATTATATCTCGTCATCAATGAGATATTAATGATTTTAGGTTGCATGGTGAGGTAAATTATCGAAAAAATTATTGTTTACGGCCGTTTTACGAGTAAACGGTGCAAGATACGGCAAAAGCTTTCGCATTCAAAATGTTCTCCCATTAACAATACATTGATTTTATTTTATGCCTTTTCGTCATATCCCCATTATCTACAGAGATATAGGCCGTGATATGAGAACGCGAGGACTCCACGCGGTCTGAGGTCCGTGAGTTTTTTTGTGTGGAATTCATGTTTTTTGGGTCGCTGATTACGAATTCATCCGTTATTGTTCTAAAAAATTCGGCGTTCATTTTTTTATAAACAGTTTAATTGTTTATATCGCCCCAACCCCCAAAGTATGATAGGTAGGCAAAAACTTTCAAATTATGAATTATCTAGAATTTCATAAGGAATAATTTATGTTTTTGTTATTTCTACGTACCTTTTCAAGATTCCGAGATATAAACAATGAAAGAGTTGCGCGACCCCTCGTGGGCCCACCGCACGCCGTGTGTAACCCGCAAACGGAAGGCTTGGAGCGTCCCTTCTCACCTCCTCCTACAATGCTCTCGAAATCGAGCATTTAATACATTATCGTTGTTGACATTATTGACATGATGAATTCATTACTGCTGCTATCATTAAATGAGAGCTACCACTTGTTTCTACTTGTCTCACGCGGTGGGGCCGAAAGCGCTGCGATGGGTCGCGCAACTCTTTCATTGTTTATATCTCTGAATCTTGAAAAGGTACGTAGAAATGACAAAAACATAAATTATTCCTTATGAAATTCTAAATACTTCATCATTCAAAAGTTTTTGTCTACCTATCATACTTCGGGGGCTAGGGCGATATAAACAATTAAATTGTTTATAAAAAATTGAACGCCGAATTTTTTAGAAACATAACGGATGAATTCGTAATCAGCGACTTGAAAAACATGAATTCCACACAAAAAAAATCACGGACCTCGGAATCGTTTTAGAATTAGGTTCAGCCAATGGATAATAACCGCGTAAAGTCATCGCGTTCTCATATAACGACCTATATCTCTGTAGATAATGGAGATATGACGAAAAGGCATAAAATCATGTCAATGTATTGTTAATGGGGGAACATTTTGAATGCGAACGTTTTTTTCGTACCTTGCACCGTTTACTCGTACAATCGGCCGTAAACAATTTTTTCGATAATTTACCTCACCATGCAACCTAAAATCATTAATATCTCATTGATGACGAGTAATAATGAAAAAATTTAAAACACTAATTATGTGTAAAATTTAATAACAAACATCTTTTATTTGAACCATTTTACGTTATCTTCATCGAGTTTGCCATTAAACGCATTGGAGCACGTCGAAACCTCGCGTAAGCGCTAACGCGCCGCCCGCTCGGCTCCCGCCCCCGATAACTCCTTGTCTATCATAGTTAGTGGAAAAATTTATATCGAGATAGGCGGTAGCGTATCGGCCAAGAAAAGTTTTAACCGACTGAGCAAAACATCAGGCCGAGAGCACCGCGTATCTATATACGACAGAACTTCCCCCTCCACTACCTCTAAATGATTTACATTCGGTATCGATAATGAAAACGGGACGACCAATCGGGAAAGTGTCGTTAGTTACATTATATAAATCGCCTATGAGCTTTTCAACGGTGTAACTAGGGTATTTTTTGGATTAACAGTAAAAAAGATAGGCGCATAGCAACGAGTTGATATTCACATTCTCGCGATTCACATTATTACGTGTGAGAATCAAGTTGTAACGTTGGCAGCACCGGTCCAACTGAGCTTCGTATCCAACGTTGAAGTGTTGCCTCCAGTGCATTTGAATGTGGATTGTGATGTTGTTATGGAGAACCACAGAAATAATATATTTCAGCACGTGTGAGGCAATATCGTCTTTAACGTGTGTGGGGTTTACAGCATGAGCCGAAGGCAAGTGATGTAACCACACACGTTAAGGACGAAATTTCCCAACAAGTACTGAACAAAATTTTATGTCACGAAGCCTGAAACCGGCTGAATTAGACACGAGACACGAAGCGTCGAGTGTGTAATCCAGCCGGTTTCAGGCATGAGTGGCATAAATGTTCTTCTTCACGTTAAAGCACTTAGAATGAAACGGAAAATCGACTCGGTGTTCTATTTTGATTTCTCTCGTCGAAAATTCGAATTTCATCCCGCTATATCTATATTCATATGCGGACCTCGGACATAAAGGTAGTTTATGCACTGTTTGTGAGGTTATCGGGTCATGTTTGGAATGTGATAAAAGGGAGATGTGTCGAAAATATTGTGTGATCGAGTATTAAATGTCCGTGAATAGTTAAATTCGAAAAGAAAATATTTGTTTTTCTCCGAATGTAACAGAAAATGTTTTCAATCCGTGGAAAAAAATTCACTAAATTAAGTGACAGTGAAATGCGAACAATTTTATGATTATTTAGGAAAAATTAGTAGGAGACGGTGGGATTAAATGGACACTTTGAACCCTTTCCAAAATGTTGATGTCTTATTGAAGTGCTGATGAAATAGATTATTCTTTAAAATTAAAGTACAGTCAGCCCCTTTGTAATAAGCTTAGACTGAGCTCAATCGATAAATTTGTTCCTTGGTTATAAATATTGAAATAAGAAGTCAGAAGAGTCCATTCCACCCAATGTTTCCCTAATATTTTTATAAAAAAAAAAAAAACAAAAACAGATGTTTTCAAAAAGAATTCTTTGTGAACATTTTGTTCGACTATTCCTATAAGGAAATCAGTTCATCTCTCCACGAAATACAATCCATATAGGAATCATCAGAGCAAAAATTGAATGAGGAACCAAATCAAGTCAGAAAATTATTAATAGATGATTAAAATTTGAAATTCGGTGGAGAGAATAAATCTGGAGTAGAACTGTTTATTTCCCTTCAATTGTTGATTCAAAAAATGTTCTATCTTATGAAAAATGAATCAGTTAAATTGAATTGAAAAGAACAAATTTCACCGGATGTAAAAACAGTCCTTGCTTATTTTGAAAAAAAAAATGAAATCTGCCTAAAAACACAAAAACAAATGTTTTTGTAAAAAAACTGGGCCAAGAAAAAGTTTTGTTTGATTCCTACTGGGAAATCGAAGTTTTTGAAAAATACATAGAAATAAAAAAGGAAGCCAAGTTAGGAATTTTGAATAAATGGTGATAGTGCACATTCAGGTTTCTATAAGAAAAATAGTTCTCAATGGAATAAGTATTCTAAAAAAATTTTCCATGAAATAAAAAATCAGTAGGAGCAGGACCAACGTCCTTGGCGCGGATCAAATGATGGAGGAATAGATTGATACAGACAGTGAATTGAAAAACTCCTACTGATTTTTTATTTCATGGAGAATTTTGTTTTTGTTTTTTTTTGTTTTTGTGTTTTTAGGCAGATTTCATTTTTTTTTAAAATAAGCAAGGACTGTTTTTACATCCGGTGAAATTTGTTCTTTTCAATTCAATTTAACTGATTCATTTTTCATAAGATAGAACATTTTTTGAATCAACAATTGAAGGGAAATAAACAGTTCTACTCCAGATTTATTCTCTCCACCGAATTTCAAATTTTAATCATCTATTAACAATTTTCTGACTTGATTTGGTTCCTCATTCAATTTTTGTTCTGATGATTCCTATATGGATTGTATTTCGTGGAGAGATGAACTGATTTCCTTATAGGAATAGTCGAACGAAATGTTCACAAAGAATTCTTTTTGAAAACATCTGTTTTTGTTTTTTTTGTTTTTAAAAATATTAGGAAAACATTGGGTGGAATGGACTCTTCTGACTTCTTATTTCAATATTTATAACCAAGGAACAAATTTATCGATTGAGCTCAGTCGAAGCTTATTGCAAAGGGGCTGACTGTACTTTGATTTAAAAAAAAATCTATATCATCAGCACTTCAATAAGACATCAACATTTTGGAAAGGGTTCAAAGTGTCCATTTAATCCCACTGTCTCCTACTAATTTTTCCTAAATAATCACAAAATTGTTCGCATTTCACTGTCACTTAATTTAGTGAATTTTTTTCCACGGAATGAAAACATTTTCTGTTACACTCGGAGAAAAATAAATATTTTCTTTTCGAATTTAACTATTCACGGACATTTAATACTTGATCACACAATATTTTCGACACATCTCCCTTTTGTCATATTCCAAACATAAACCGATAACCTCACAAACAGTGCATAAAGTGCCTTTATGTCCGAGGTCCGCATATGAATATAGATATAGCGGGATGAAATTCGAATTTTCGACGAGAGAAAACAAAATAGAACACCGAGTCGATTTTCCGTTTCATTCTAATAAGTGATTTAACGTGAAGAAGAACATTCCCCGTAGTTCTCCATAACAACATCACAACCCATATTCAAATGCACTGGTGGCAACACTTCAACGTTGGACATGAGGCTCAGTTGGACCGGCGCTGCCAACGTTACAACTCAATTCTCACACTTTATAATGTGAATCGCGAGAATGTGAATATCAACTCGTTGCTATACGCCTATCTTTTTTTACTGTTAATCCAAAAAATACCATAGTTACACCGTTGAAAAGCTCATAGGCGATTTATATAATGTAACTAACGACACATTCCCGATTTGTCTTCCCGTTTCATTATACCGAATGTAAATCATTTAGAGGTAGTGGAGGGGGAAGTTCTGTCGTGTAGAGATACGCGGTGCACTCGGCCTGATGTTTTGCTCAGTCGGTCAAAACTTTTCTTGGCCGATACGCTACCGCGTATCTCGAAAACAAGAAATGTGTATTATTACACGTCAAACATCTTTTGTTCGAAACTTTTTTCCCTATCTCTCACCATTTTTGTGATATGATGAGTTAAACAATTAAATTATTAATAACAAATAGAACGCCGAATTTTTTTGAAAAAAGACTCATTCAAATTCGGAATCAGCGACCCAAAAAACATAAATTCCACACATCAAAACTCACGGACACTGAAATTGATAAAGAACCAGGTTCAGCGTACGGACTATGTTTGTCCTATACCTCACGTGTTAGAAGCCCGCAGTGAATATTATCTAGTTATTATCTCCCAAACTGTGTAGTACAGCTAGTTAGCATTTTTTTCAATAGCTGGGGACTATTATAAACATTATCAAAAAAAAAACTGGGGACAATCTTAAGAAAAACGTGTTATTCAGGGATATACCTTAAATTCTTATTTTAAAAAAAAACAGGATTTTTTTTTCGCACGTGGAATCTAAATGTTTTTCTGTAAATCTGTGGAATATCTGGATTGAAAAAGAATTTTAATTCACCATGATTATTTCAACCATCTGTGGTAATAATAGATCTTGTCAATCAATTTCCATCATAATTTATTGAATAAACTCAACGTTATCCACCAATCTTCCATTAAACTATTTCACAATACTTCGAAACAAAAAATAACAATCCAACAATTGGTATTTGACGTAAAAAATTGACGATATTGTTTCTTCATAACGACTGAATTAAACTATCGATTAACCTTCAACAGAAAGACTTCAAGGGCATAGACTAGTCTCTACATCGAACGCAACGTGTACAATCCACTTCCCAATATAACAAACTTTCTTTCAAGAAATGAAAAATTTGAAACATTAGTGAAATTACTCGGCAGTGTAATTATCGATTTCACATTTATTCACCTCAAATAGTACTCGTGTTATCGTACCAGGGAGGCATCCAGTTGGGTGGAGTTCTCTTTCTACCGTCCCCTAGGCCATCTAAATTTGAATTGCGATCGAGACGTCTTCGTCTACTATCATTACCATTATCGAGTACTACAAACGCTTGTGCTTCGTCGTCCTGGCGTTCTCGTCCAAAACTGGGTGAATAAGGCCTCTGATTGTCGTCAATGGGAACTCTATCCGGTGAAGGACTGTTCCCAGTCTGACGGATTGAGGATGACCTTCGTCGACGAGCAAATCCCCTGGGTTCATCATCAACATTATGAACATGAAGACGATACGTTGGACTCGGCGATCGATGCCTTACAAGTTGGGGATTAACTTCACCAATGGAGGGCCGTTGACCTTGGGAGGCGCGTGAGCCTCTCCTCACCATTGGAGGCTTCCCAACGACGTTGCCCTCGTGGACTCGAGTTTGAAGCACCTGAAAGTTGTTATAGCAGACAGGAATCACTTGAAATTCCTTGTAATTTAGTGATAATCTAGAAAATGGATGACTTTAGGAGGGAATGTCAAAGTGTAACGCTCGCTATATCTAACTTGTGAGGACCGAATTCACCTCTCACACGCACTTATACCGTGGTGGCACCAGTTTTCGAATGGGACCTAAATAGACGAATTTGGAGCATGCGTGCGGCATAATTTCGAACGAATAAATATTGAGAAACTTCGAAGTCCATCTTCATTGTTTTCCTCTCAAAGTGCAGTTATTTCTGCACGAATTACAATATTTATATACATTACACAGAGTGCAATAAATTCCAAAAAATTACATTTATCTGGGGTGCTCGATCGATTAATCTGTTTACCGAGCCTTATGCAGTGCACAGACGGTTGGATTCAGTCACACTTCATAAGGATCTGGAGACAAAATGTAAGCAAACAATTGATTTCAATCAGTTTCTATGAATTGAGGGATAATTGTTGAATCCATACAGATTGAAAAAAACGGAAAAAAAAGAAAATTTATAAGAAATACGGCATTCGAGATTTGGGTTCACAGAATACGAGGTGGTAGAACTTGGCGAATGTATTCTTTCTAACCTTATAACCGATTTCATACCTGTCTGGAATAAACGTGAATTGAAAACTTAACAGGGAGCTACTAAAAGAGCTCATGCAATCAAGAAAGAGAAGGATTTGAAAAAGAAGAAGCTAAGAAAGAGTCCCAACGTTGTGATGAAGAACGTTTTTTTCTTCGCCACAACGTTACTCCAACTGTTTCCCCTTCACCCCTTTCCCTTTGCAGAAAGGGGCGAGGGGAAATAGTTGAAGAGAGCTCATTCGCTAGTCTTTAATCAGGTTTTTACTGTTGAAATAACAAAAAAATTGCTCTGGATATGTTTTTTATAAACCATTTCCTGAATTTTCTTCGCCCCCCTTTAATTCGCTTTATTCGACAACTGGGGTGGGTCAGTTTTGGACATTCGAAATCTGGGTTCGGGGCACTATGTTTTATTTTCGCGAATATTCGTTTAATTCCTAACTTTTTCAATTAAAATCACGTGTCTTCCTTTCGAAAAAACATCCGAATTGACTTCTAACAGATAATATTTCACATTTGACGGGAAAAGACAGGAATAATCCGATATTAATGGGTGGGTACTCCCACCCATCAACTATTCGAAAACTAATGCCACCACGGTATTTGAGAATCACCCGCACACTGATAGAACGGATTAGTTATTGTTAACGAATGGATTTTGGTTGGAAGTTAGGGTCTATTCGGTCGCACCAAATGTTCATTCGTTAATAGTTAACGAATGTATATTTGAGGAGCCTTGTTTGACTTGACTTTCGCCATTCAAGTGAACCATTCGTTAACTATTAACGAATATTCATTTGGTCATATTCAANCTTCGAAGTCCATCTTCATTGTTTTCCTCTCAAAGTGCAGTTATTTCTGCACGAATTACAATATTTATATACATTACACAGAGTGCAATAAATTCCAAAAAATTACATTTATCTGGGGTGCTCGATCGATTAATCTGTTTACCGAGCCTTATGCAGTGCACAGACGGTTGGATTCAGTCACACTTCATAAGGATCTGGAGACAAAATGTAAGCAAACAATTGATTTCAATCAGTTTCTATGAATTGAGGGATAATTGTTGAATCCATACAGATTGAAAAAAACGGAAAAAAAAGAAAATTTATAAGAAATACGGCATTCGAGATTTGGGTTCACAGAATACGAGGTGGTAGAACTTGGCGAATGTATTCTTTCTAACCTTATAACCGATTTCATACCTGTCTGGAATAAACGTGAATTGAAAACTTAACAGGGAGCTACTAAAAGAGCTCATGCAATCAAGAAAGAGAAGGATTTGAAAAAGAAGAAGCTAAGAAAGAGTCCCAACGTTGTGATGAAGAACGTTTTTTTCTTCGCCACAACGTTACTCCAACTGTTTCCCCTTCACCCCTTTCCCTTTGCAGAAAGGGGCGAGGGGAAATAGTTGAAGAGAGCTCATTCGCTAGTCTTTAATCAGGTTTTTACTGTTGAAATAACAAAAAAATTGCTCTGGATATGTTTTTTATAAACCATTTCCTGAATTTTCTTCGCCCCCCTTTAATTCGCTTTATTCGACAACTGGGGTGGGTCAGTTTTGGACATTCGAAATCTGGGTTCGGGGCACTATGTTTTATTTTCGCGAATATTCGTTTAATTCCTAACTTTTTCAATTAAAATCACGTGTCTTCCTTTCGAAAAAACATCCGAATTGACTTCTAACAGATAATATTTCACATTTGACGGGAAAAGACAGGAATAATCCGATATTAATGGGTGGGTACTCCCACCCATCAACTATTCGAAAACTAATGCCACCACGGTATTTGAGAATCACCCGCACACTGATAGAACGGATTAGTTATTGTTAACGAATGGATTTTGGTTGGAAGTTAGGGTCTATTCGGTCGCACCAAATGTTCATTCGTTAATAGTTAACGAATGTATATTTGAGGAGCCTTGTTTGACTTGACTTTCGCCATTCAAGTGAACCATTCGTTAACTATTAACGAATATTCATTTGGTCATATTCAATTCTATCATTCGTTAATAGTTAACGAATCTCGTTTGGAATAAATGAATCATTCTATCAGTGCACAGTGTCGCACACATCAGATGTCGCAATCGCTCCCGAATATTCAGACGTGTGGCTCTCGCCACTCGGGGGACATCACCACCTCATCGTGTATATATTCATGCCGACTCATCCGTATATATTCATTCCGACAATAAACTATTACTAGTTTGCAACCGTTACCTCGCGTAGTAGATTCGATACCTTCCCGACCTACCATCACACAGAATCCTACAACAGGGGGCCTATTCTCGAAATATTTCCATGCACGGAAGTGGCGTCGTACACGAATTGCGTATAGGAATCATATAGGCGTTCCGTCAACGGAGTCGATTCCGCGCACGGAAATATTTCGAGACTAGGCCCCCAGGACGTTATCGGCAGCATACGAAATTTCTTCAAGGATAAGACGGGCGACAAGTTAATGTCAGAGGTTTCTTTTTGTTGAGGAAATGTGTTTCTGTGGCAAGTTATTCAAAAAATTTGGTCGAAATAACAGAGGTTATAGGACCCGGAATGTTGTAACAAATTTCAGTGAGAGTTTCACGTTTTCAATTTCAATATCAAGCAGGGGTTCGAACATATCCGATAGAAAGCATGTGAGCGTTACTTTTTACGTTATTCGTCTTTTTCTTTTCTTTTTTTATTCCTACCAATTCTATTAGTGCACTGATAGAAAGGATTAGTTACTGTTAATGGATTTGGTTGGAGGCTAGGGTCTATTCGATCTCACCTAATGTTCATTTGTTCATAATTAACAAATGCATATTTGAAGAGCCTTGTTTGCCTCAACTTTCACCTTTTAAGTGAACCATTCGTTAACTATTAACAAATATTTATTTCATCATATTAAAGTCTACCATTCGTTAGTAGTTAAAGAATCTCGTTTGGAATAAATGCATCATTCTTTCTATCAGTGTAGTAAGCTTCCGAATGGATCCGTAGCAAATCCTGTGACAGGCATACAACCGCAACCACATTTTATAGAGAGATATTTAACCTGTTGATGAAATAGATTTATATAAAAGGTTAACCCTAGATTGGTTACCTTTTTTCTTTAATTGCCATGGTTTGGCTGACCGGAAACATTAAAAAAATGACTTTTTGAATTGAAGTATCTAAATAGCTATTTTTGACACTGCTACTCTGTGAACAGAGTAGTGAACTACATGCCGAAAAATACCTTTTTGTACTGCTTCTCACGATTTATCGTCTGGGAATTGATATTACATACTTCCCAAACTCGAAAACTTGAAAATCACTACATAAAAATCTTGTCCTGGGCTGCTGCGGTGGCTTTTTTTTACTCGTGTAAGTAGCCGAAGGCGAGTGAAAAACCCCATCGCAGCAGCCCGGAAAAATACAATTTCTTTACAATGTCCGTAAACAGTGTTTGACGGACACGAAGGTTGGACAGGTTGGAAGGAGGACATGATGGCTCATGACCTCTAGAGCCATCCTGAAAAGTTCTTGAAGGTATGTGCATGTGTGCGTGCGTGTGTGTGCGTTTCTATATATGTGAATGAAATGTCCAACGATTTCTTCTGAATAAATAAACCCATTCAACTTTTTTTCCATCGATCCGGCTTTATCAACTTTGAACTGATTAATTTATGAACACGATCACCTCCGCGATTTCCTACCTATTGACATAAAACATGTCAAACAATTTGAAAAATGTTTTTTTTTTCAGAAATTCCACGATTTAAGCAAGAAAAATGATGAGATTTGAATTTTTTCTTTTGGGATCGATGGATCCTCGTGCAGTTCGAACCTATTATATCGAATGTTCGGTAAGACCGTCTCAGCGTTTGTGTAATTATTCACATGAAATTTTCACATGAAATTTGAAAAAAGGGGATCGGCCGGGAATGTACCGGTGCAACCTGTAATGGGTCCCACTTCCACCAACCCCTACCGGTCGCACTCCAGTCCGGGAGCGAACGGAGCTAGCGACCGGCTTTTGATTTTTTTCCCCATGTAAAAACAAAATTGTCCGTTACGCAACGTTGCTGGGAATTCGCTAAATCCGCCCGGACTATGTAGAGTGAATTCAGAAACGGTGAGGCCTAAATGATGCATCCAATTATACGAACTCCAACAAATTGAAGCGGGAGATCTCGTATACTAAAGAAATCTCATTTTGTATACATAAATAGTACAGAGAACGGGAAAAACATCGAAAATTTTGAGACCGGATTAGTCTATGGTGCGTGGTGGATTACCTCAAATCATTCATCATAGAATTTTGCCTTTTTATCAAATTAGCGCAGCCAGAGCTTTCCAACTCAATTATTGGCGAAAATATTGAAGTTTAATTTTTTTCCGTTCTAAACCCTTTTTTTCAATGGTAATTACGAGTCACGAAGAACGATAAACAAAAAATTTGAACCTATAGATTTCGTCGGAAATTTTCTCAGCATTTTGAAAAAAGTATTGATTTCTACGTATTTTGGCATATAAAATTCACACGGAGAGAATATGCAGAAGCGGAAGTAATCTGGCGATTGCAAGACTTTTCCCGATGATTCCGACGAAGGGTGTCCCTCGCGTGAAAAAATTGGGAAAAATCCGATTTCACATTCATATCAATAAAGAATTTTCGAAAGGATCCGATTATACAGACTGTTCAGAAAATTTTTCGCGTTTAATCGGGGAAATCCCGACAATTTTCGGAACTCTCCTCAATCAATTGTAGTAAACTTCTAATGGTGTAATATGGACATGACTGTTGGAAGAAGCGAATTAGGAGAGTGTAACTGTATCAAATGAAATTTGTAGAAAAATTATTTTTCCTACAAAAAAAACCTTTTTTTTTAAAAAAAAAAAACTTTTTATTTCAACTTTAAAATGGTCCATTTAGCCCAAAACCCCCCTCATTTCCAATTCCTGTAGCCTCGAGATGATTTAATTTCGACGCATAGAGTAATGTCTTACATTTCGCAATCATTTTACCGGTTTTCTTGAAGTTTTACCATAGATTCGATTCTGTTGAAATGTCGTAATATTGACGGTGAAAAAAATACATTTTATTATGCGCCGAAGGATAATCACGAAGTTCACTCATCTTATGAACTCCCCCGGCAACATACCGGTGGTGCACCAGATCTGATCCGTATCTTTTTTCTCCGTCTATTTCGGTGATGAGCGACTTCACAAAGGAGTAACTTTTGTATCACTGATAATATAATTAACAGCGTTCTTTAGTATTTTTTCAAAATCCATCTCATTGCCAGAATAATTCTATATTATTTTCAACAACAGTCTTCTGACGTGTCTTGCTGAAAGTAATGAGTCTTCTAACGTAAATATAAAACTCGAAAAAAATTCAGAAACTCCTACCTGAAAAGCATCCTGATCATGTTCAGCATTGATCAATCCGAACTGCTCACTGTTATTATTATTCAACCAATTACTGGACCTGCGCCTAGTGCCTTGATATCGTGGGTCATTGGTTTGACTTCCTCTCCTGCAATAAGCATCTCGGTATTCGGGTTGGAGGGTCATGTGACCTTCAGGACGAAGTGTCGGAGGCATTCGGAGGGACTCGACCTTAGGAACGTGACCGTAGGGCACGTATTGGGCTCGCACTTCACTCGTGGATGTGTGGGAACGTAAATCTGAGACTAGACGTTTGTCGAATCCGGAAGAACCGATTGGCGGACGCATGGAAATGGGGGGTTTTCTATACACTAGACGGTCTTGGTCAAGGTATTTTGATTTATACTCTGGATCCCGGTCTATCTTTGTGCGGAAGCGAGCTGAACCAGAAGATGAGTGCACTTTGGAACCGTCTGCGCGACCTATCTCATCTTCGGGTTTCAGCAGTTTAGGACGTTCTCTGGGAAAATCGCGGTAGGCATCTTTGTACTCCGGAGTCTCCATAGGCGGGTGCTTGAGGTCAGACAGTTTAGAGACAAGGAGATTCATGTCTTCTTCCTTCTTCTGATGATTCTCCGGGTCTAGAAGTTCTTCGCCGGGGTCAGAAATTGTAGCGTTGGGGGGAACGACAGTCCCCCGGGGGTCAACAAATTGTTGAGTGTTCTCGGTGGCTTGTGAAAAGTTACCTACGGACTTCAGATGCGTCTCTGGAAGCATTGGTGATCGTTTTTCTGGAATTTGGGATGAAAAAAATTAAAATATCTTGGCGTTGAATATAAACCTCCAAAAGTCGTTTGTATACGAGAAAATTTTGTATTCACACAGAAAACGCTGTGCAGATTATCTGCACACTTATGCGGATAATCTGCATAGTTATGCGGGATTCACACATAAGCCGAAGTCACTCTCTTATGTGCAAATCATGCATAAATAGTGCGTGAATCATGCATAGTTATGCGGATAATCCGCATAACTATGCATGAAGTACACAATTTTTATGCGGATTATCTGCACATCTATGCGTACTTTCCGCACAGATTTGGTATGATTTACACATAAGGGCGAAATTTTGATGAGGATACGTCTATGTTTTCGTTATGAGGAGTCGTTTTGTGAAATTGAGCTTACAGGTCTAGATTTTTCTAGAAAATTCAAGGGACTTCAGGGAGTTTCTAGAAATTTCGAGAGAATTCAAGGAGTTTCTAGAAAATTCTAAAATGTTCAAGAAATTTTTAAAAAATTCAAGAAAATGCATGGAGTTTCTAGAAATTTCGAGGGAATTCAAGGAGTTTTGAGAAATTTCGAGGGAATCAAGAAATTTCTAGAAAATTCGAGGAAATTCAAAGAGTTTCTAGAAATTACGTTGAAATTCTAGGAGTTTCTAAAAATTCCGAGGGAATTGAGAAGCTTCTACAAATTTCGAGGAAATTCAGGAATTCTTAGAATATTTTAGGGAATGCAAGGAGTTTTTAGAAATTACGAGAAAATTTAAGGAGTTTCTAGAAAATTCAAGGAAATGCAAGAAGATTCTAGAAATTTCGAGAAAAATCAGGGAGTTTCTGGAAGATTTAAGTGAATTCAAGGAGTTTCGAGAAACTCTGAAGAAATTTCCGGAATTGCTAAAAAATTGAATGAAATTCTTAGGTGTTCTGGAAATTTGAATAAAATTTGAGTTTTCCAAAATAATCGAGGAATTTCTAAAGTTTTAAACAACATTCAGAAAAAAAAATTTTAAGGGGAGACTGCGGTGAAATTTGAAAGTCTCGACTCGGCCTCAACAGCCATTGGATGACTTTTGATATATGAAGGGATATATAAAACAGTGAGAAAAATTTCGGCCTCGAACCGTTTTGCCCCGTATATCCACCAAAAACGTCATTTTTCACGTTTTTAGCTTAAAAAGGCTCCTTGGACCACAGTTTTCATCCGATTACAACTTTTTTTTTTTAATGTTCGTTATACTCCAACGAAAAAACCCAAGTATCCGTTTTACTTTATATTTATTAGATGATGAGAAAATGTTTTTTTTACTTTTTATTTTTTTTCCTCTTTTTAGCAAATGCTAAAATTCGTTGTTTTCCCCCCATTTTTTTTGTTATAATATTTCGATTACGTATGATTACAACGTGGAATAACGAAAAACAACTAGTTTTAGCATTTGCTAAAAAGAGGAAAAAAAAATAGAAACTAAAAAAATCATTTTCTCATTATCTGATAAATATAAAGCAAAACGGATACTTGGGTTTGTTCGTTGGAGTATACCAAACTTTAAAAAAAAAAAAAGTTGAAATCGGATGAAAACTGTGGTACAAGGGGCATTTCTAAGCTAAAAACGTGAAAAACGACGTTTTTGATGGATATACGCAGAAAATGAATTCTTACTTTTCCAAGTTTCACCAATGTTCTCATTTAAACCATTAAAATGCAACCTGAGAAATAACTCTCATACCACTCAGGAGAAAAAAATTAGCGAAAAAATCCCCGTAATTGACTTTTTTGACCTTGCGTTTTTATGTGGAACTGCATCAATAGAATATTTTCTATTTAACAATTCAAAAGAACTGTCTAGCAAATTTGCGAGGATTTTCTACTAAATTTGTTCGTACGTACTTATTTTCTTCAACTTATTTACCTTTTATAGGGGAGGCTGAGACAAACTGAAACTTAGCTACCCACAGCGTGATGAAGAGTTGAAACTAATACAACAAACAGCGCTCTTTCACTTTCCTCTACTGTTCTATTTTGTCCCATTATCCCCTTAAATTATTGATTTAGAATTTACAATTTTTTCTGGTTTTCTCTATGAAATTCCGAATTGTTAAAGTCACAATTCGTTAAAGTTTCGGTGAGTACTGGCTTTTTTTTCTGCGGAACTCTTATGGGCGAAACATGCATAAATAGTGCAGATAATCTGTAATTGNTTGTGTGTTGAAAATGAAAAAATCGTATTGGTCAAAGGAGTTTGATATGAGAGACAGAAGAGTGGTTAAAACGGGGTAAACAGTATGAGCAGAGAAAGTGGTCCCTGTATCGCTCACCTAAGGAATAACGATAATTTTTGCATCCCAAACCATGATTTTGCATAAAAATTATGATCGCATAGCATTCTTTGACTATTCAGCTAGATATTTAAAAGTCTTGGATCTTCAATTCTTATTTCAATTCCGATAAATTATCAAAAAATGCAGATAGGAGCCGAGTGAGCGGTACTGGCCGCATGCAGCTAATACTGCTGAATCTGATTTCTATATCGCTCAGTACCTAACCTGTAGTCAATAGCTGTCAGAAGAAAAAAATCTCCGATGTTGGATGATTCAATAAAATGAATGAAATTCAAACTTTATTTGAATTCCAAAATGTGAAATTGGTATTTCAGTCATTATTCCATGTTTTTTTTGAAGGAATAATAAAATATTACGACGCGATTTCGTTTGGACGTTTCAGTCTCTTTTAGAACAAGTTATACATTTGAATATTTATTTATTGTAACCATCCGAACGAGTCACCTATCCTCGTAAACAATGTATTGACGACTTATATCAAATGTCACAGCCATTCTTATTTTCAAATGCTTCTTTCATGATTCGAAAATATCTCTTAAAATGAAATTTTAAGAGGAAACTAATTATGTTGTACTTGCGTGATTTTTTCCGTTAACAAACAATTGCATATGTGAGCTGTCAAGTACTGAGCCGTATTGAAGCTATATTAGCCACACTGGCTAAGCGGTATTGGCGACATCGCCCGAATTAAAGAAGACATTCTCTAATTATTAATTAAAAGATGAAAAAAAGTAGATTTCAATATGAAATGATTTGGAAAAGAATTACAAAACAATGGATGATAACTTCATGTGATGATATAGTACATTACATGCCCGAGCCTTAGAAAACAGATCACCGTCCCCCACGTGTAAGATTGCCTTCCGAGCCGAAGGCGAGGATGGCAAGCACGTGGGGGAGGGTGATATGTTTTCCATGGCGAGATGTGTATATTAATTTTTAGGTCCCGTGACACGAAAATGCTATTATCATAGTGAAAAATCTTACGTACTAGCTGTGTTGCCAGATATTATGGCGACAAGTCGCCGCATCTGGCGACTATGATATTTGTGAATCAATTTCGGAAAAAATTGAGGAATGCCCGAGCGAGGTTTCAACTTGCGACATTCAGATTGCCGGTCTGGTGCTCTACCTACTGAGCTACCGGGAGTTCCGTCACTTTCCGTCGAATTTGATTCACTTTAACGTCGGATGACCCACCGCCGCCCTTCTAACGGCATTTTTCTAATTAATTTTGATTTATTTCAATATTTTTCAATTGACTGTGTTGGCAGATATTTTGGCGACAAGTCGCCGCATCTGGCAACTATGCGTACTAGTGCAGAAAAATCACATCGTATAGCCCTAATCATGCTGGGGTGCTAGTCGTGACATTTACAGCGCTGAAAAAACGAAAATTTCCATGAGAATTACATGCTGATAGTAGAGTGCTCAGATTGAGTAAGAGACAGTGTGGAACGCATAAGTGGTTGTGGAGAAAATCAGGTGCGCGGTTTTAACTACTGAGCGATACAGACATCATCACCCCTAGTATGAAACTTGATTACTATACAACTGTTTTTATTAATATTTCGTTGCTTAAGATTAATACCCTAGTAAAAATTTTGACTGGTGGGGTGACTTTGCCTGCCGGGGTGACAGTGGATGGGCGAACGTCGCTGGTGCATATCGAACTTTGCTCACTAGGCCACATCGCGGCGAGCTCCCCCGCTCGTGTCGAACTTTGCTCTTTCGAACGCATGGGGGCGAGCTTTCGTTAGACCCTATTGTTTTTTTTCAGTCATGTGGAGATAGGGGAGAAGGTATGGAATGAGTGAAGAGTAGAAAAAGAGATATTTACCACAAGTACCAATGACAGTAAGTATTTTTTTTTGCACATCATCGGTTGATTACCATATTAAAACTATTCCTGATGCAGATGAATACATACACGGAGAGAAATATTCAATAAAAATTACTTATCTTTTCCGTAATTCTGGAGCGAAATATGGTTGTAGGAAATTTTACGGAACTGTAATTTTTATCTGAATCTCCTGTGAAAAATTACGATACCGTCTCTAAAATTTCCTGAGTCGATTCCGTAATCGGTAAACGAATTGTGCGTTCCGTAATTTTTACTGAATATTTCTCTCCGTGTACTGGGAGAGTTTGTTCATCTGGGGATAGAGGAAAATATCCATGCAGTGGTGCATGCAAATGTGCACATTCGTGACGAGATCCAACTGCAGTTTAATGTGGATAGCGTAGACCTATTTAAATCAACCTCAATAGGATTCTCCTGTCTATTATGCAGAATTTTTCACCGACACAGTATTTGTGAAGCTTTTCCAGTTGCAATCTTTTTTTTTATTGTTATTTTACTTCACTTTGACCCGGTTGCATATATTGCGATGATGATCAAGACTTTAAATAGCTAGATCTCACCATTCTACCCAACCGGGATTTGATCTCGGAACCTTGCGCACGTGAGGCAACGACCTTACCCACTGCGCCAGGCCGTCGGCCAGTTACAATCTATAGTGAAAAATCATAGCCAAGCATTTTTGCTCATTTTTACCAACTTAACAGCGTATTTCTAGCTCATAAACCGAAAGTAGTTTCTGAAGTGCAGTCGTAATCCCAAGCTCGCCCACAGACTCGCCCGTGCGCCAGAAGCAAGCTCCTACAGTACCTACGGGGTGTGCACGCCCAGACGTCCTTACGGTTCGTCGCCCCGACACCTACTGTCACCCAGAAAGATCCGGGGCAACAGCAAATCGATTTATAATTTAATACTAGGATACGAATAAGATGGGAACTCAGGGAAGATGGGCATTGGGGAATACCTTGTAAGATTGCGCGCAAAATATTCCCAGAGCACCCATCTTGTTTCATTTGTCACACTTCTCTAATCCAACGACGATATCGTTGGTATTTTTAGGGTGCAGCCTGCCTCATTACTCTTTTTTTCAATTTAGAAAATTTTCTTCTAGATGGATAGTTTAGACAATTACCTTGATACGCAGGTTGCCGAAAAACATCAGTATACTCAGGCAAATAAGTAGTCTCCCCTTCAAGCTTTAAATGCGCACCCTGTCTCAGAATTTCGGGTCTTCTGGCACCAATAAAAGGCACATACTGCTCATGACTCTCAGTGGAAGTTTCCTGCTGACCCTCGAGCTTGAGATGCGTCGGCACGCGAACGAGCTCGGGTCGACTGACGTTGAACCACTCGATGAATTTCTCACACTGTTCCGTGACAGTTCGCATGTCACCTTCCATTCGAAGTGAGGTAGGTCTCCGGGCCAATTCAGGACGATGCACACCCTCGTATGTTCTATAGTTTGAGTACTCCGTTGCCGCGTAAAAATCACCTCCAGTTTTTAAACTTGTTCCCCTGTCATGCGAAGGACAAAAACAAACGCGAATGATTAAATTCTTGATTGAATCGCTGTAATTCATGTCATGTTCTACTTTTTTAAAATTATCTCAACAATGGTTGATTTCAGAAGATGTCGGGAAATATTTTTTAGAGAATTTTGTGACCTACAAAGAAGACCTCTGAATATTTTGATTTAAAATCACTCATTACCAAGGTAATGGCATAATGAAAAGAAACGTGTCATGTGTCTTGCATTTTTTACACACAATCATTACCGAAATCATCATCAATTAGAATAAATCATGTTTTAAGCATTCTCAATCTTTCTTGTACATTAGAAAGTATATAGGATGCAAGTGAAACAATTTGAAGGGTTTGATGAGAATGAAAAAAAAAGTAGAGAACTATTGTTGTTTATGTAAAGACCTATTATTGGAGGCGTGCTAAACCTCCCCAGTCATTGTTTCCATATGAGGTATTCCATGCCAAATCAGTCAATCACTGACCTTTACCCTCTTGGAAATTAATGGCGATTTTCCTACGATTGGGGGGGTTGCAAAACTATCCCTCAAATTTTTTCAGATTTTTTCGGCAGCCCAGTTCAGAGATATGATTTTTTTTACATTTTTCTGTTTTTTCCAATAACTCGAGTTCTATTTGTCCAATTTTCATTTATTAAGCGTCAAAATTTTTCATTTTATACCGCCTATACGAGTATATCCAGTAAATATTTTTTTTCGATTCCTACATGCTCATAATAACGAATTTTCGAAAAAAAAGCTGAAAAAATTGAATTCTGCAAATTATGTCGCTTTTGATTTGTTTCATTTTTTTCAGTAATTCTTATAATCAAAACAAGTATTTTGAGCCGTCATACAAGTTGGGGATCTTACTGGGTCTATTTTATTTTTAATTTTAAAAACACCTCAAAACGAGTTCGATCATGTATCGAAACAATATACAATATATTTAATATTGAAAAAATATATAATATACAGTTAGATTCACTTCATACTGTCTATAATCAAACTCAATCAACGCCATTTTGGGGTGTTTTGACCAAAATTGCGGAATTTCGAAAAGAAAAAATTGAAAATAAAATAGATCCAGGAGACTCTTCAACTTGTATGACGGCTCAAAATACTTGTTTTGATTATAAGAATTACTGAAAAAAATGAAACAAATAAAAAATGACAGAATTTGCAAAATTCAACTTTTTCAACTCGTGTTTTCGAAAATTCGTTATTATGAGCATCTAGGAATCGAAAAAAAATATTTGCTTTAAATACTCGTATAGGCGGTAAAAAATGAAAAATTTGACGCTTAATAAATCAAAATCGGACAATTAGAAATCGAGTTATTGGGAAAAAAAACAGAAAAATATTTTTAAAAAATATCTTCGAACTGGGTTGCCGAAAGAATCTGAAAAAATTTGAGAGATAGTTTTTCAAACCCCCCCCCCCCCCCTCCAATTGTAGAAAAAATTGCCATTAATTTGCAAGAAGGTAAGGGTCAGCAGTTGACTCATTTGGCGTGGAATACCTCATACGTTTCTATACGAATAGCTTTAAGATTCTCTTGGAGGGTTTGCTGGGGGTACTAATATCGGATCTTGGTGGTGGGAATGCGCTTGTGACAGAGATTTAGAATATGGACCAGTTTATTAAGGTCGAAAGTTGTTGTTAATTTTGTGAGTCTGTCTGTGATGGGTTTTATTTGGGTGCGTTCGTAGAGGGTATTCAAGGGGTTGTGAAGTGGGTCTCAATCTTATTTGCCTCACTTTCTAATAAGTGCCGGTCGACCAGGAACATGCCCAGGTATGATCGAGGCGTCATCTTCAGTCTCCATAGGTTCACCATCCGCCTTGATCCTTGCTAAAACCTCAGCATCCACTTCACTATCACCGATATTCCTTCTCACCAGAGAGTCCTCACTAGTCACCCTGAACGCCCTTCTGTACTCCGTGACCAGGTTCTCCAGGGCATCTTCATAGTGCTCAGTGCCCAGAGTATCCGGCCGATTCTGCACCCGTCTGCGCCGGTACCGCGCAAGTTCATCAACGGTCAGCTGGTACACACTCGGCCATGGTAACTGATCCCTAGACTTAGCTTTGCGCTCTTTGAATCTCGTTCGCGCTACCTCGGAGTCTGAGCAGGACTTTTGCGGACTCCTAAATAAGGATCTTCGCCTAGAATTTATTGAATCGATTCCAGTAATGAACTAATGAAACAACAAGAAGATAAGAAAATAGTAGTTTTTAAAGGAAGTTGGCCATTATTGAAAAGTTAGTCATTTGGGGTAACAAACGGAATTCATTCGAAATTTGAAATTAAAATTGTGTACCTAAACGAAGAAAAAAATATCCGAAAAATGACCGGACTCGCAAATTTAAACTATGTTAAAATGGATTTATCGAGAACAATTTATCACGAAGGGTAGGGAAAGATACTCCTAATAGGATGCTTCCCTCCGAAAACATTTATTTTTTACGAACATCTGCGAAAAATTTCCCGTACCTCACGTCAAAATCCGAGAGAGTCAGACTTCTTTCACAAAATCTATTAAATATTACCAGTGCCAAGGAGGAATATAACTAGCATCATAAAATAAATACTGGGGTTTTTATTTTCACTGTAATAGGGGAGGGTGGGGTAAAACGGACACTCGACTTTTTTAAAATTATTCCTACCTCAGAAACAAGGTATGAAGCTCAGTTTAGGCTCGTCACAAAGGGAAAGAATTGTTCTTTGTATTGAAAAAAAAATTAAATTTTATCAACATTTCAACCCCTTATTAACATTTTAAAAAAAGTCAAAAGTATCCGTTTTACCCCAACCTCCCCTATACATATCTGAGGATGTTTGCCAAATCGGCAAAGGATTTTTATCATGCTGAAGCCTGATTTTTTCGGTGCTGAGAGATTGAGTCCACTTTACCATCTATGTCACTGTAATTTTTATGTGGATTTATACAGAAAAGTTCTCGTGTCTCTTCTTTTCCTAGTGGTCAAATACTTTCTTGAAATGCATCCTTGATAAAGCTGTAAAATTAGTGATAGCGCGCGAGGGCCCATTCATTTGTGAAATCACGGTGTCACTCGGGACTGAAATCCATATGAAATCAGTTGAAATCAAGTGAAATCAGTGATATCCTGGGATTTCATCGACTTCAGGTGATTTCAATTGAAATCACTTGCAATCGGGCAAATCTCATGAAATCATGAAATCAGAAACTCATCAACATCGATAATCGCTATTTTCTGAGAATCTGCCATACGACGTTGGATGTTTTGACTGCGGTAGAAATAGATATTTTATCCAATGAATGAAAAATATATATGTATTTGATTCTCATGGCTTTACCTTGATGGTTTCATTCCTACATTTACCCCCCTTGTAACTCATGCACTGTTAGAAAATTACTCTTGAAATTTCAAGTGAAAAAGAGTGAAATTTTTAACAATGATAAAGTTACATGGAATTACTGTAGAATTCGTTATTGACGAATCAGTTGATTTATTGAATATTAAAGTAATTCTCGATTTTCAGTTCGATACGGCATTGAAAAACTTGAAAATTTTGAAAATTGAGGCAATAACTTCTCTGAATTTTCAATCTATTGAAAATTGAATTGTGATGAATGTGATGTGATGTTCAATTTTCCCGATGAGTTTGGAAATTCAAGCTTTTACTTAAAAATCAATGATTCATTACCATGAAAAACCCATTTTTCTTGACTTTTCAAGATGAATGAGAAATTTAGTGAACATTTTCATTTGAAATTGAATTCAAACTCACAACATTGAAAATTCAGATGACATTGTGACTGAAATTTCAAGAAATTTCTAACAATGTGTTTAAGCCTTCTTGCATTGATATGCTGCATTTCTTTCACTTCGAGTTTTATCCCTATTCTTCCCTCTTCCGCAAATAGATGAAATCAAAAATTTGAAATCTTCTGAAATCGCGAAATTACTAAAAAAAATCCCAGGCAATCACATGAAATCAATGATTGTATAAAATAATGGAAATCTCCTTGAAATCACGTGAAATCAGCAATCACTGTGTCACCAGATTTCCAAATGAATTGGTCCCTCGACGCCGCGAGACGAGACGAGAAATCGCATTGTCTCGTTTCCTCTCGTCGATCGTAGATGATTCCTTGTCTCGTCTCGTCTTGTAATGCCTCTCGTCTCGTTTTTATCGTCTCTCACGGCATCACTATGTACAATAGAATTTGCCCCGTTGAGGAAGGGAGTAAAATGATCAAAGAGCCCAACGATCATCAATTGAATAGGCGAACAAAATGACTCCCCTTTGACTTTCTGATTCGTTGATGAATTCAAGTTGACTTCAAGCCAGTGAAAGATGCAACTTAGAAGTCTTCGGTTAATGAAAATAGGGCTACCTCAAAAAGTAATGTCTATGTGAGTATCTCAAAAGTACGTCAAGGTGTCTAACGGACATTACAGAAAAACGTTTTACCTCGACGTAAGGAGCAAAATGAATTAGGGCCAAATTTTTTTTGGGTATCCTATTGTACCAAGAGTTGCTCAATGGCTATCCCACGTACGAAAAAACGAATGGGCCGAGCTTGGCCCAAGCCCGGTGGCCGGCCTGCCGAACTTCGGGACCCGTTCCTCAACCGGGACCGCGCCGGACTTGGTTGAAACCTGGAATGATAACATCGGGCCAGGTCTGGGCG